TGTAAGTATATATGTTGTGCCTCCCTGAATTGATTGTAAGTTTTGGTGTAACGGGACCATAGATTTTTTTTTTGAATTAATTCTTTCAAAAACTGTAATGAGTGTCTATTTGTGACAGCCACTGTTGATATAAGAAAGAAAAGCCATGACATGGTTCTCAAAGAGATCTAGACAAACAGTTACAAAAAAATACGGTAATTATTACCAGCAAGCTGCAGTGAGATTAATTCTTAAATTTTCTTGGAAGTGTTAAAGACTTCAAAGTCTTTTTTTAATAAATATTTTAATATGTTTATTGATTTTAGAGAGAGAGGAAAAAAAGAGAGAGAGAGGAGCATCTATGTAAGAGAGAAACATGGATCCATTGCCATATGTGCCCTGACTGGGAATTGAACCTGCAACCTTTTGGTGTACAGAATGGTACTCCAACCAACTGAGCCACACTAGCCAGGGTGAAAGAATGATCTTTTCAGCTGAGGCTTAAAGGACAGAAGTGTTTTGAAGGCACGAAGTGAACTGTGACTAGCTCAGAGAGATGGAACATCCTGTGCCAAGGCACAGAGTAAAGGCCATGGAGACATGACCCGGAATGCACATGCATGAATCCTGTGGAGTGTAGAGTGGACTGAAGGAAAACAGACTGAGCAAATGGGATGGGTAAATGTCTGTGTAACTATGCAGAGAATCTTACATGGTATGTTATGATTAAGCATGTTGGTTAGGCAAGAAATGTTTGGACTTACATGTTGGTCCCCTGTAGCAAAATGGAGAATAGAGGGGAAGAGGGACATGACTGGGCAGGGAAACTGGAACAGAGGCTATTGCAGATAAGCTGGGGCAATGAGGAGAAGAAAGGGGATAGAAGGAGAAAATACAGAAAGTAATGGGGAGGTAAAATGGACAGACGCTGGCATTTGGTAGAATGTCGGGAATAAAATGGAGAGAAGACAAGGATGTCTATCTTGTTAATAACTGTGTCTCCACCACCTTGAAGAATGTCTTATCTGGGTTCTCAGTAAATATTTGTCGAATGAAGAAGAGGGACATAAATATCCAGGAGACTCCTGGGTTTCTGGCTGAGGCAGAAGGTTTATGTCAGTCCCAAAAAGAGGGATATACAGGAGCGGATGATAACATATTCATTTGTGAACTGCTGAACATACACGTGATTCTTAAAAGAATAAACCATAAGAAATACATTATAAGGGTGTGGGGAGGGGGTAGGAGAGGAAGAAGAGATAATGAAGGAAATACCAAACATGACTGGAGAAGCACAGGAAGACGATTAGTTTAGGTTAAAATCACAAGTCAAGAGAGACATTTTCAAGCTGAAATGTTTGAAAGGGTATTTTGTCCAGAGAGTTCAGTGAGAATAAATTCTGGAAGAATCAGTGATCAGCTTAGCTAAGGAGACTCGGGGAAGAGTATAATCAGTGCAGGTCCCTTGCCTTTTTATGTGGATGTGTCAGAAATTAGAGGTTGGCTTACATTTCAAGTTATTACATAAACTCTGTGGCTTTGTGCATCTTTTAACCTAAGAAAGATAAAGGCAGCATATGGAATGGTAATTTTCATAGTGACAACCAGTATGCAGGTCAGAGACTGATGACAAAACAATAAGAATAGCGCCTAAATGTGGAGCTACTACCATTGTTAAAAATAACCTGCCTTGGACCATAGTTTCTGATGTAGAATGGATAATTTCAAATTGTGTGGTTAATATTAATCATTATATACTTTAAAGGGGTATGTTTATTTAATTAATAACTTTAAGCTACACAAATTGATGAGTCATCTCTACATATTACATTATTGGCGATTATTACCTATCTTACTTCATCCCCATGTATGATCTAATTTAGCTGTTCCCTAAAGGTTTTGAGAGGTTAGTCTCAAATATTAGTTGTATAAAAAGCACCTAAGGAGCTTGGTAAAATTCTGTTATTTGAATCAAGAGGGCCTGGGAATTAGCATTTCAACAAGCACCCTCCTGTGATTCTGATACAATGTGAAGAGGTCCTGCTTCCAGAAGCATTGCTTTCAAAAGCAATTAAGTGCTTCTTGCATTTTTTAGCTGGTGTTCTTGCTCCCCCAGGTGGTACAATGTATAATTGCACCTTTCAGATTTCTCCGTGTCACTGATTAGAAAAGAGCTCCACAATTTATCTACTTGTTTATCTAGCCTTTATTTAACCATGCTATCAACCTACAAATGCCAAGTGCAGAATGAGCATCATATCAGTACATACAAATGCAATAACTAGAGGAAACCAAAAAATGTCAGATGTGAAATTCCACAATTTAGAAAAGCTGTGGCTTAAACATTGCTTATTATTATTAATTTTTTGAGAATTTTGAAGGAGTCTTTACAAGAAGAGCACTGAAGAGTATTTGGTGGCTGCATTTTCATGGTCCAGGTGTTTATACCTTGCTTGGGTTCCCCCTCTTTGAATTGTTCAGGATTTAGGAGATATGTTTTAAAATAAGAAGGGCCCAGGGTCTGTAATGCTCATTTGAATTTCATTTGTTGGTCTTTTATTTTATTTTTTGCTAATGGAAAGGATATAATTAATAAACATATGATGAAATGTGTGAGAATTAAAGAGCGAGGGGATGGGAATTCCTTCTTCCTTCCCTTCTTCCCTCTGTGACTTCTGGCAGTCATCCAACAGATTATTTACTAAAACCACCTGAAAGGGGCTTTGTGCATGATATTGATAACTGGGACACCATTTCTATAAAGGGCAGAGGGATCCAGCCAATCAAAGCCTGGCATCCAGGGTCCATGCCCTAAGCGCAGGGCAGCCTATCAATACTCAGAAGAAGGGGAGATTGGCCGCAGCGGTGGGGGCGGGGTAGCCTCCAGGGAGTCCCTGATGCAGAGGGCACCAAACTGGAACCCTGGAGAATGGCTGTTTTTAAAGTACCTTTGTGCAACTGTGTTGCCGATGTGCTTCATACCATGATCTGTTCTTTAAACTATTTTTCAATAATCTGTTCTTATTGTTGTTCTTCATTCCTTTAGCACTGATTACGTGATTGGCAGTGTGCTCAGTGTGGGCAGATAAGGTCAAATGGGGATGAGTGGTCTGTGTCCACACAGGGCTCTCACTCTCCTAGTGAAGACAGACAGGAAACAAGTATCTAAAATAGATTAGGAATTATAAATTGAGGTAAGGCCTTGGAGGAAATAAGTTAGAGGGAGAGAATAACTTGGATGGGGTGGGAGAAGACCTACTTCTGTGAAGGTGGCTGGGAAGGTCTCCTGGAGAAAACACAAGCTACTGTGTTCATTGAGTTCAAGTGCTTTCCATGTACTAATTTTTAAAAAGATTTTATTTATTTTTAGAGAGAGGGTAAGACGAAAGAGAGGGAGGGAAACATCAATGTGTGGTTGCCTCTTATGCAACCCCTACTGGGGACCTGGCCCGTAACCCAAGCATGTGCCCTGGCTGGGAATTGAACCAAATCGAACCAATGCCCCTTTGGTTCGCAGGCCAGTGTTCAATCCACTGAGCCACACCAGCCAGGGCTCCCTGTGTTATGTTAATGCTTGCAGCCCTACTAGGGAATGTACCATTATTATACCCACTTGATAGGTGAGGAAACTGAGGTGCTAGGACATTAAGTAACTTAACATATAATTTGTCAGCAGTGGAAACTGGATATAAGTCCACAGTGCCAGGCCGCAGAGCCTGCTCCGGTGACCGCTCTGATCTCTATGCCCTGTCAAGGCGGAGGGCGGAGCGTGAGCAAAGCCTCGGAGACAGGGACGCGCTGGGTACCTGAGGCACTGGAGGAAGAGCTCTACAGGACAGGGGCATGGAGATGGTGGGACTGGCCTGGTCAAAGTCAGAGACGAGACCGATGGCAATGGATAAAGACGAGACCGTTTGAGAACTTGGTAAGGAGGTTTGGATTTCATTCTCAGTCCAGTGGGAAGTCGGGCGGGTTTTAAGCAAGGTTCAAAACCTATTGAGATGCCTTTTAAAGACATCCCTCTTGCTGCAACTTGGACAGTGCGCTGCAGGTAGGAAGGGCAGTAAAGAAGACCAGTTAGGAGGAGGTCACAGGTTTTCCGCAGCAGAGATGGAAGAGATCCGAATAGGCTTTGGAGGGGCAGTGAATAGCATTTCCCATGATCAAGTGTTCCCATTCTCACAGAGGTGGTGGGGGCTGGCACATTATACTTCACTGGGGGGTGTGGGTTACTTTCAGACATATGTTAATGCAGAAACCAATGTTCAGTATTGGGAGATCACAGAGGGAGTTGAAAAGAACAGAATGTTATTTCCCCTGGCACAGCAGAACTCCTGATGGTTGAGGAAAAGGTCTTTTTCCAGTGTACTATGTTAATTTCACAGGTGAGGACACTGAGCTCAGAGAAGGTAAATGATTAATTGCCTAACTAGTTAGTTGTCCACTTCGGAGTAAAAAGCATGTGCTTTTCTTTGATCCCACACATGCATAACTGGTTTCTACTTAAGACAGACAAATTTAACTTATTAGGTGACTTTACACCAATTCTAGGGCCCTGGAGTACCTGGGTAGAGGTCAAATATTTTCTTCATTTCTTACTATTTTAATCTGAAATTGTTTTCTCTGATGGCAGCCACTCCCATTTCACAACACATGGTAAAATGCTGTTCCTACAGAAAATTTCCCTTCTCCTCTTATATATGAAACAGAAAGAAACAGAGAAAAGGACATCAGTAAGTGCACTTGTCAGATGACTCGGTTATCATCTCTGCCCTCATGTTTGTAGGCAGGGATTCTTGCCCTTGATAAGAGGTAGCCCTGGTGGGAACAATGTTACAGAAAAGGCCAGGGGCCTGCTGAACACTTGGGACTACAAGGAATGTGCTCGAGACAGAAAATAGGAGGAGGCTGCCTCAAAGCAAATGTCTCCTTTATCCATAGCCAGTTAGAGTGTCCATGAAAAATCTCCAACATATTCTTGAAGGAGCTAAGCAAGTGCTAGAGGGTTGAATTAATCTTACCATGCCCCTTCTGCCCAGTGAAAAGTATTAAGTTATTTTGCCGTGTCGAGGGGTTATTTGCTAGCTGAAAATTCAAGTGGAATTAATAATCGAAGCTGATATCTGGGATCCATGAATAAGCCAGGAATGAAGTGTCTCCAAATACATCCATGCCATTGAACCTGGGCTGAGTAATATTAATAGCTGTGGAAAAACTGAAATCCAAAAGTTAAAATAAAACTGTACATGTAGTTGTAAAAGGAGGGTTATTGTCTGCTGATGCATCTGGCCTGATAGTCTGTTTACTATCGCATTGGTTATACTTAAGTGTCCTCAGCAACTAACTGACTCAACAGGGGATTTCAAAACCAGAACCAAGGAAGTACAGTGTTTTGAGATCCTGTGAATATACCCTTTCACTCACAAATCCGTTCTACACAATGGAGAATTTACTTAAAAAGCAAAACCTTATATTTTGAAGATTAATTTTAGAAATAGAAAAGATTACTAGCAGACCAAAGTATTTACCCAGGTGTTTTGTAAACAAGATTTGGCATCCAAACACAGTTTTCAACTTAGAAAAGAATTCACAGCTTGGAACAAACTGCGTTTCTAATCCTGGTCCTTTTTAATAGTTGAAGTCATTGATCAGGGGTAGAAAAGCCAAGAAATCAAAAGGGAATGTGATCAGTTTCCATTACTATATTGTGAATGACGAGACTTTTTCTTGAAGTCAAAAATCATTGTCTAAAAGAAATGTTCATACTTCTGGTCAAGATGGCAGTGTAGGCAGACATGGCTTGCCTTTTTGCAAAACCACATCAAGATTACAACTAAAATATAGAACTCAGAACTGTCAGAAATTGAGTTGAATGGAAGTCTGACAGCTAAGAAATTAAAGAAACCACATCCATCCAGACTGTTAGGAGGTGTGCAGATGCAGAACAGGTTGGCCCCATACCCATGTGTGGTGGATAAAAATTTGGGACCGATATCTTGGGAGCAAGGAGTCCCAGCCCCACATCTGGTCCCCCAGGCCAGGATTCCAGTGCCAGGAAGTAAGTCCCTATAATTTCTGAATGCAAAAACCAGCAGGGATTGAGTTAGTGGAAGAAACTGCTGGTGCCACAAACATTTCCTCTTAAAGAACCCACACACGGACTTACTCAGACTCACTCCCTCTGGGCTCCAGCATGGGGGTAGCAGCTTGAAAGGCACCAGTGGCATACAGGGAGGAACTGAAGTGTCTGGCATCAAGGCAAGCAGAGGTCATTGTCCCTTCTCTGAAATCTCCCTCTCACAAAACTACAGAGCTGGCAAGCTGGTGTCATATCTGAGACTCCATCAACCTGGCTAACACTGTTTGACCTACCTTGTAGATCCCCAGAGAGTCTACCCTACCCAAATTATAGGGCCCACCCAAGTTGCTTTTTCATATGAATGGCTTATGCTTCACAACTTCCTAAGTCTTATCAAAAAAGGAAAAGCTGGCCTCAGTCAGCCACAGGCCCAGTTCTAGCAGTGGCCAGCCTAGATTCACAGCTTGGCTTTACCTGGGACTCCCTAAGCCCAGCATGAGTAGCAGCCTTCTCAGAGTGCTTTATAGCTCAGGTAGGATGGCCCTGGGCAAAACACAGGTAGGGGCTGACCTTGGCCTGCCCCACTCAGAAAACCCCAGGGCCAGTGCACCGAGCGGACAGCTACAGACCATGTCAGAGCACCACCCACCCTTCCCCTTCACAGCTGACCATCCACAGAGGGCAGAGGTTGGTGGTAAGTAGTCACAGCCAATCCTTGCAGCTGACTGGTCTTGGTAAATCCCTGCCATTGATCTGCCAACAGCAACCAAGGCTCAACTATAAGAGGAGGGTGTACTCAGCCCACATGAATGGTGTACCTTGAATACCCAGCTTGGGGGACAGGGGTGGCTGTGCCACTGGACCTACAGGACACCTAACACATTAGACCACACTACTAAGATATGGAGTCAAAGCAACTCTACCTAATACAAAGAAACAAACACAGGGAGGCTGCCAAAACAAGGAGACAAAGAAATATGGCCCAAATGAAAGAACGTATCAAAACTCCAGAAAACAGCTAAACAAAATGGAGATAAACAATCTATCAGATGCAGAGTTCAAAACACTCGTTATAAGGATGCTTCAAGGAATTTAGTGAGGACCTCGACAGCATTAAAAAATCCAGTTGGAAATAAAGATTACATTAATTGAAATAAAGAACAAGGTACAGGGAAATGACAGTAGAGTAGATGAAGCCGAGAATCAAATCAATGATTTGGAACATAAGGAACCAAAAAAACAACCAATCAGAGCATCAAGAAGAAAAATCAATCTAAAAAAAAAAAGTGAGGATATTGTAAGCAGTCTCTGGGACAGAGATTCAAGCATTCCAACATTCACATCATAGGGATGCAAGAAGGAGATGAGAAAAAGCAAGAAATTGCAAATCTATTTGAAAAAATAGTGAAAGAAAATGTCCCTAATTTGGTGAAGGAAATAGACATGCAAGTCCAGGAAGCACAGAGAATCCCAAACAAGGTAGATGCAAAGAGGCCCACACCAAGACACATCACAATCAAAATGCCAAAGGATAAAGATAAAAAGAGAATCTTAAAAGAAGCTAGAGAAAAGCAGTTATTTACAGCAGAATTCCCATAAGACTGTCAGCTGATTTTTCAAAAGAAACTTCGCAGGCTAGAAGGGACTGGCAAAAAATATTCAAAGTCCTGAAAAGCAGGGACCTATAGACAAGATTGCTCTACCCAGCAAACCTATCATTTAGATCAAAGGGCAGATAAAGAGCTTTCCAGACAAGAAAAAACTAAAGGAGTTCATCATCACCAAATTATTATTATATGAAATGTTAAAGGGATTTATTTATTAAAAAGGAGATCAAAAGTATGAACAATAAAATGGCAATAAATACATACCTATCAACAATTGAATCTATAAAACAAACTAAGCAAACAAGAAGAACAGAGACAGAATCATGGATGCAGAGAATGTTTTGATGGTTGCCAGATGGGAAGGGGCTATGGGATAATGGGTGAAGAGGTGAGCAGATTAAGAAGTACAAACAGGTAGTTACAGAATAGCCATAGGGGTATAAAGTCAGTACAGGAAATCGAGTATCCAAGGAATTATACGCATGACCTGTTGTTGGGAAATGCCTTGTCTTGTTTTAGGAACTGTAGTCCTGCCGACAGGCAAGAGGGCCCCAAGGCTAGAAATAATCAAGGAGGCCTTGGGAAAACAGACCACTGAGGAGACAAAACCTGTCCTCCTGGCCTCCCTTACATCAGCCTGCTTGGCCTTGTGATGGTTGGTGGTCAATGACGGGTAAGATTCCTCAAAAGGAGGGACAACTTAAGCCAGACACAACCAAAATGGATAGCAGGTCAAGGACTTGGGGGACAGGGAGAAAGGGCAAAAAGACCCACACCCCTCAGCTTGGCTTGGACATGGCCGGAGTCCTCATTCTATCTGAAAGAAGTCTCCTTGTCTCTTGGCAGCTCCCTCCTCCTGCCTGGCTCAGGCTCTAAACAGTATTGGAAACAGTCCTAAACTGCATCTGGCAGTTCCCAGGGGAAATCAGGCCTAAAAGTAAATTCTTTAAAGCATGCTTTGTTTCTCTCTCAAAAGCTATGATAGCCAGCTCATGCTGGAAAGGAAATTTACATTATTCACAGACCCTAACCCTAAACCCTTTGGTGCTCTTATGTTTATGCTTTCCTGTTTACTAGTCTCCTCTCAGACCCATTTAAATTGGTGTGTTCTTGCCATTTGTTTTCTTCAAAACATCATCTATTCTCTGTAAACATTAACACACTGGTGTAATAAGATAACCTGCACATTCCTATTACTTTGGCCTGCTGATAACCTTTTCAATACAAGCCTTTGGAAAAGAGGGCTCGGGGGCTTCTCCACTAGAGGGCAGTGCCCTTTCCCCTCTCCTGGCAAACAGAGAAGTGTTTGTGACGATTTGTGTTTATTCCCCCGATCTGTGACAACCCTGGGATGGGCTCTGTGGGATTCAGAGCCTCACTCCCCTTTCAGCTGGCTCCAGACAGTGACCCTCAGATCCAGGGGCTCTGTGCTCCCTGTGACAACCTGTGGACATGAATGATGGTAGGGGGATTGTTTGAGGGTGTTGGGGGGAGTGCTGGGGGGAAACAGGGAAAAATCTGGACAAGTGTAATAGCAAAATAAATAACATAAATTAACAAAAGAAAAAGAGCCCTGGCTGGTGTGGCTCAGTGGATTGAGCTCTGGCCTGCGAACCAAAGGACTGCTGGTTTGATTCCCAGTCAGAGCACATGTCTAGGTTGCAGGCCAGGTCCCTTGTAGGAGACACATGAGAAGCAACCACACATTGATGTTTCTCTCCCTGTCTCCCTCCCTCCCTTTCCCCTCTGTGAAAATAAATAAAATATTAAAAAAGAAAAAGAAATCAAAGAAACGTTCATCCCTATTCAATTGAGATGGTTAGATCATGAAAATACTGGTTTCAACAGGCCTAAACCCTAAAGAGATTTCTTAGTAACAGGAAGTGGTAAAAAATAGAAGTTCCGGGACCAGTGTAGATAAAATAAAATTAAATTGAGGTGTGCTGTTAGCCAGCTTGCCTCTCTTTTTGTACTGCCTCTATCTAATCTCTCTCTCTTTCTATTTTTTATTTTATTTTATTGTTTAAAGATTTTATTTATTTATTTTTAGAAAGAGGGGAAAGGAGGGAGAAAGAGGGAGAGAAACATCGATGTGCGAGAGACACATTGATTTGTTGCCTCTTGCGCACTCCTAACTGGGGACCTGGCCCACAACCTGTGCCCTGACTGGGAATTGAACTGGTGACCTTTCAGTTCACAGGCCAGCACTCAATCCACTGAGTCATACCAGCCAGGGTTCTTTCTCTTATTTTTTGAGAGAGAGAGAGAGAGAGAGAGAAAGAGAGACAGAGAGAGACAGAGAGAGACATTGATTTGTTGTTCCACTTATTTATGTATTCATTGGTTGATTCTTGTATGTGCCCTGACTGGAGAGTGAACTCACAGCTTGGTGGAACCAGACAATGCTCAAATTAACTGAGCTGCCCAGCCAGGGCAAGCCTCTATCTAATCTTGTATCCAGATTTTTTCTTTTCCTTCATTGTTGTTCCTTCATACATAGTTCCAACTAGCTTGTATT